GACGAGGGCAGGGAGAAGGATGCGGCACAGGGACCTGGAGGGGGGCAGCAACCTGGGAAAGAGCTGAGATCTGCTGCAAAGTGGGTAGACCTGAAGGAATGGGCTCGACAAGCCCTACAAGCTGCAGCAGGCAAGTGGGGGGCTTATTTACAACCTCCTTTTGCTTCTGTCATTTTGGAATTTGCTCTGCTGTCAGAATATTGTCGTTTTAATTAAGTATTATTAAACCTGGTGTGTCAGAGCCCTGTTGAGAAGTACTTGCTCTGAAGCTGATCCTTCCAGCTGGACCCGGCTTGGGTCCTGTTTCAGGTGGCATGCTGTGGCTCTCGCGTGCCCTTGCAGTGCGAGCTGCAGCGCCTGGTCCTTTGCCCTCCTGCGCATCATCCTGTGCGGGGGTTCCACGGCCCTGGGTTTGTGCAGCAGCTGTTGCCATAGACCCCGATTTCTGAGCACTGACTTGCTGTGCCTGGTGCTTTCCCCAGGTGATTATTTTTAACAGGTGTGTTCGGTGCCTGGTGCCCTTATCTTGCCGAACCAAGCAGCTCTGGGCTTTTCTGTCCCTCTGGGTCTGTCTGTGCTCAGGCTGCCAGCTCAGCACTGTCTGCTGGTGACATGGGGGGCCCTGATAGCCAGGGCAGGGCCCTGCCAGCTCTGGGTCAAAGCATGGTTTTCCTCTTGTGGCTTCTATGTCACAGCAGGTTTAATTATAACCCTGTCTGGTGCACTCTCCCGGCTTATCTCGCGTGCTCCCACATGCTTGCTTCCTCCTCGCTGGCAGCATCTCCACCGGGTACCAGCTACCATTGCTCCTGCGGGCGAGCAGGCTGTGGGACCTTGGGACACAGAGACAAGAGTCCCAAGGCTGGCCAGAGACCCAGGGGTCAGCACAGGGCTGGAAAGCGGGACCCCCTTGCAAGCTCGCTGGCACGGGGTGCAGCCCTTGCTTGCTGCTAGAAGCTGGGTCCTGGCTTCTGGGGAGCAGAGATGCTGCCAGAAGGGAGGAGGAGGAGGAGGAAGGACCGTGCACACCGGAGGGGACAACAGTCGGAGCTAACCCGTCTGTCTTCTCCAGCAGGTAACGCAGGAGTGGGGACACCCAAGCCGCCACCATGGTTGCCCTCTCGCTGAAAATCAGCATCGGCAATGTGGTGAAGACGATGCAGTTCGAGCCCTCCACCATGGTGTACGACGCCTGCCGAATGATCCGTGAGCGGGTGCCCGAGGCCCAAATGGGACAGCGTAAGTTCACGGTGGGGCTGGCTGTCATGCCAGGGCCACCCCGGCTTAGGTCCTGGCATTTCACTGGTCTCCCTTCCCTCTCCTGTCTCTCTGCCTATCTGGGCTTTCCCAGAGCAGTGAGGGGGTGGGGGGAGCAAGGTCCGAGACCTCCTGCCCACTTGAGGCCAGGGGCTGAGCTCTTCGGGCTCCCTCTGACACCCCAGAAGGAATGTGGGGGTTTGGAAGATAGGAAACCACATTTGGAAGTGAAGTACTCGTCAAGCTCTTTGAGTCTGCTGCCTGTTTTGTCTCTGCTCCTCTCTCCTGCTTGCCCCCATCACCACTAGCCAGTACTAGGTGGGTTTGAACAGTTGCAGGGGTTGTAGCAAATGTTAATAAACTGTGTAAATTAATTTTTCCTTTCTTGGAATATATAGTCCTCCATCAGGTCTGTCCCCCGCCAGCAGCTCTCTGCCAGACCTGTGCTGGTGCTCCATTACCTTGCTAAGCCTTCTCAGCTTTAATGCTTCCCTGCTGCCAGCAGGCTCAAAATTAATCTTATGGCTCATGAGGTCACGATGTGACTCATGCCTGTGCGGACATGGTCTGTCCCCGGTGTGGATAGCGGGGGCTGGAACATGGGGACATCATCTCAGGGGCTCTCCTGGGTCCTTGCTGCCTCCCAAAGAGGCTGTGCTGTGGGGCAGAGGGAGCAAACAGGAGGTCAGGAGTCGTGGGAAGAGGAGGGGGTGGTGCGGCGACATCTGGGAGCAGCAAATTCCTTGAGGATGAAAGGAAATGCCTTCTCACGCCGTGCCCGGCTGGCCAGTGGTCTGGCGGACCACAGCTTTCGGTTTCGGAGAGGGTCTGGGTGTTTATGTGGATGTGGGGCTGTAGCCATGTTGGAGGGAGCGTTGCATTTCCTGCTCCTGGGCGTGAGCCAGCCTGCTTAGAAAAAAAAATGCAAGGGGAAAGCCTTAAAGGGAACTGCTTGTTCCTGAGTTCCTTCTTGGCTGCTTGCAGCTTTTCTTTTCCTATCAGTTCCTTGCAGCTTTTGTTTCTCTTTGCTTTCCTTACCCAGTGGTACTTGGGGGTCCCTTTTTGAGCTGTTTTTTTGTCGCGCTTGGGCTGGGGGACCTTCAGTTTAGGTTTCCAACTCTGCTCTTGCTCTGTCTCGGGACGTGCCTCGCCCTGCCCAAGTTATGGATCGGGGGCGAGCCGCTCTGTTTTCAGTGCTTTAGTTATCTTCTTGTAATTTGCTTTGAAAATAGGTTGGGTTTTTTTAAATTTAAAAATAAAATGGCAAGCCTCCATGGTTTTTCTGCTCCCTGTTTAGTAGGATCCTAACAGCAACGTTAGCCAAGCAGGAACAGGGCGGCTCAGGAATTTGTCCCTCCCCGCAGAGGGCTGCCAACAAGATGACTCGTCATAAACTTAGCAGCCAGCCAAGACAGCCTGCGGCGCAGGGTTGTTGGAAAGGTGGAGAAGGACCTTTCCCAGGGCAAAGCCAGGCGTGGTCCTGGCCTCTCGCGGCATGAAAACAGGGCTATCCCTGCGGGTCCAAGCTGGGGTGCCACTGCCTGAGCTCCATCAGCAGCACTTTCATCAGGTACCCCAGCCCTGAGGGAGCAGGATTTGGTGAACAGCACTTACTCACCACAGCTGAGATGTTGTAAGCCTTGATCCCATCCTCCTTCAGCCTCCTTATCCCTAAAAGGAGGAGTCCCAGCTCCTTTAATCCTTCATACCAAGGCTCCATCATTTAAGTTGCCTCTCTCTGTATCTTTTCAAACTTTGAGGGGGACGTGCAGGCCCCACCACCACGGAGTACTCAAAGTGTGGATGTGCCTAGGTTTTATAGACCAGTTCCCAGCACCCCTCCTGGTGCTGATGCCCAGTGTTTTACTACCTTGCTTTGGCTGCTGTTCTATGTTGCACCAAAGATTTCGGAGAGCTGTCAACCACAATTCCAAGCTTTTCCTTCTGTTGTGACTGTCAGTTCCAAGTTCAGCATTGTGTAGGCATGCTTCAGATGATTTTTTCCATAGATAACTATGGTAAAATATGTACCTCGAAGCTTGCTTGCCAATTTTTTTCCCACTCGTTAGTTTTAGGCTCCAGCATTCACAGTGCTGCTGTGCTTCACCTATTGGATTGTGCTGATGCACATCCCTGGGTGCAGGCTGGCATCTTTGTGGCCCTGTCCTCAGCATGACCCTGGCAGAGACTTTTCCTGTTTTTCAGCCAATGATTTTGGCCTGTTTCTCTCGGACGAAGACCCAAAGAAAGGGATATGGCTGGAGGCTGGGAAGGCTCTGGACTACTACATGCTTCGCAATGGGGTAAGTATCCATCCCACATCCTTCCAGCTAGTACCCGCCTTGGCTCAGCGGCTGGATATGCCTGTGGTGCAGAGGTGGTGTGGGTGCTTGCCCTGCTGCCTTGCAGTGGGCCCCACAGCACCCCACATCCACCCCCCCAATTTCACTGGGGAGAGGGAGCTGTTGGTGTGATGGTGGGATGTGGGCGCCCTGCGCCAGTGCCACTGCTGGAAGTTGTGCTCTGCTGTGCCCGCAGGACACCATGGAGTACAAGAAGAAGCAGCGGCCCCTGAAGATCCGCATGCTGGATGGGACAGTGAAAACGGTGATGGTGGATGACTCCAAAACCGTCACGGACATGCTCATGACAATCTGTGCCCGGATTGGTGAGAGGAGGGCACAGCAACAGCAGGGAGGAAGGGAGGTGGGGAGAGATGGCAGCGTCTGGTGGGGGTACTGGGCGAGTGGCAGCAGCTCTGCGGCAGATGGTCTGGCAGCAGGGATGTCCGAGGGGTGCATGGTGCTCGGGAGGGGACACTGCTGCTCACCCTTGCGTCGACTGAGCAGCAATGTCGTGCTGAGCTTGGTCCTCTGCTCTCCTGCAGGCATCACCAACTACGATGAGTACTCGCTTGTTCGGGAGATTATGGAAGAGAAGAAGGAGGAGGTTACCGGCACCCTCAAGAAAGACAAGACCCTGCTGCGAGATGAGAAGAAGATGGAGAAGCTGAAGCAGAAGTTGCACACAGATGACGAGTGTACGTGCCTGCACATGCTGGGGATGGGGTCAGCCCATGCTGAGGGCAGTGGGGAGGAGAGCAGGGACCCTGACAAAGGGAAAACTCAATGCAGGGGAGCAGAGGTGACAGTGGAGAGGACTGTGATGAGGCAACATGTGCCCATGCTCCCTGGAGTGTCTCCTGCCTGGAAGCCCAGGGCAAAGGGGTGAGAGCTGGCATGCACCAGATGGATGTCCATGTCTCTCTCTGCGTGAGCAGCCCTGGGGCCAGGAGTGACCCTGCCTGGGTGCCTGTCCCTGCTCATGTCCTGGCATTGCTTACAGTGAATTGGCTGGACCACGGCCGGACCCTGCGTGAGCAAGGCATCGATGACAATGAAACACTGCTGCTGCGGCGCAAGTTCTTCTACTCTGACCAGAATGTGGACTCGCGAGATCCTGTGCAGCTTAACCTGCTCTATGTGCAGGTACAGCTCCCCAGAGCACATAGTTCCATGTCCTGTGCCAGCACCCTGCCGGGGCTGGTGATTGAAGGTTTTGAGGCTGAGGGGGGCACTTCAGGATGCTCAGTTATCTCCTGGATAAGAGCCAGTGGTGGCAAGCCCAGCCCTGCCATCTGCATACCCCAGAGCTCCCCAGTCTCCTCTGCCTGCTAGGAACCATCCTGAAGTCCTGCTGCAGCTCCTCTCCCAGGCATGGTGATGGTCCCTGCAGGGGACAGCCTGCCCCTAGATCCTCCCCTTTTTCATGGCCACTTCTTTTCTGTCTGGAAAATAGGTCCTGTCCGGTGTGGAGGGGAGCAGTGGCAGGGCTGCATGGCTGCCTGGCCCACGGCCATGTCTTCTCTTTCCACACAGGCTCGCGACGACATCCTTAACGGTTCTCACCCTGTCTCCTTTGACAAAGCCTGCGAGTTTGCTGGCTACCAGTGCCAGATCCAGTTTGGGCCACACAATGAACAGAAGCACAAGCCAGGCTTTCTGGAGTGAGTGTCGTGGGGAGCCCCAGGTGGCTCCAACAGCTTGGTAGCCCCCACCACCGTGCTGGCACACAGGGCTCTGGGGGTGCAGGTGCCTCTGGTGCGACCTCTCTCCTCCCTGCAGCATGGTGCCCAAGCGTGGAGGTCTGCACCAGCTGCAAGGGGTGCCAGCCCCCCATCTTGCTCCCTCTGGCAACCCCCAGGACATGCAGCCAGCGTTGATGGAGGGGGGACCCCAGCCCACTGTATGGCCTCCCTTGAGGCTGCATGAGGGGCTGCATCCTCAGCATCTCCACTTCCCTCTCAAGCAGGGCAGCTCCTGTGGCAGCTTTCATTACTGCAGTAACCTCTCCCACGTCCTTCCTGCTCCCCAAAACTCCCAGCCCGTGCCCTGGCTGGGGTTCGTCCGAGGCTCTGAGTTGGGCTGCCTTGTAGTTGAAGACAAATGCTGGCTTCGGGCTCTGCTGCTAACAGCTGGCTTGGCTATCTCTTGGCAGACTCAAGGATTTCCTGCCCAAGGAGTATATCAAGCAGAAAGGGGAACGCAAGATCTTCATGGTATGTGCAGAGGGGATGTTGAGACCTGGACTTCTTGTTCCTCCTTGCCAAAGCTTGAGGCTGCTTTTGTCTCTGGAGGCAACACATAGCAGTTTGGCCCATGAGAAACAGTAGCAGGGAGCTGTAGGTGGGAAGACAAGGCAGCTCCTCAGGTCCCAGAGGTCAGAGGGATGCTGTAGCAGGGGCAGGGGATGCCGGTGGGAAGAGCCTGGAAAGGCTGTGGTAGGGCAATGGTGGCACAGCCAGGAGACCGTGAAGCTAGTGTGATGTTCTCTCTTTGCTGTTGCAGGCCCACAAGAACTGCGGGAACATGAGCGAGATCGAGGCCAAAGTTCGCTACGTGAAACTTGCTCGTTCCCTTAAGACCTACGGTGTCTCCTTCTTCTTGGTCAAGGTAGAGCAGCCCCTCCCCCCTGGTCCCACCGCTCACTGGCCAAAATTCCTCTTTTCCAGTATCCCTCCATCTGTCATGTCTCCAGCTGCTACCCTTCAGACCACATTGCTCCAGTTTTTCCCTGCGTCTCCACTGTCTGCCTCTCCTTCTTCTTGCCTTTCTCTGTGCACTGCCTTCCCACTTCTTGGTTCACATTTCTTCTCATTTTCAAGCCCCATGGTTCTGACCACCAGAAAGCGTTGTCCTGTGGGTGTTTGGTAGCCACAGCAAGGCCTCAAAGGTCTCTGCCTGGACGGATCTGTCCTGGGGACAGCCCACAACCTTTCTATTGTGACCTGCAGGAGAAGATGAAGGGGAAGAACAAGCTGGTGCCACGGCTGCTGGGGATCACCAAGGAGTGTGTGATGCGCGTGGACGAGAAGACCAAGGAAGTGATTCAGGAGTGGAGCCTGACCAACATCAAGCGTTGGGCGGCCTCACCCAAGAGCTTCACCCTGGTAGGCACCAGCCCTAGTCCTCCACATCCCCCTTCCCCAGTGGTGCCCTCACAGCAGGCTGCTCTCATGCCAGCCCCACTCTTGGGTATCGCCCTGTGGTGGCACAGCCTTGCCCTCCTCTGGTGCCTCTCCTGGCTGCCGTTTTGGAGGCTGGCACTTGAGCGCTTAGCGCATACCAGAGAGGCTCAGGATGGACGCTAGTGCCCTGCTCCGGTGCTACCCTGTGCCCTGCCGTTGCAGGATTTTGGAGATTACCAGGACGGTTACTACTCAGTGCAGACCACGGAGGGGGAGCAGATCGCCCAGCTGATTGCCGGCTACATTGACATCATCCTCAAAAAGGTGAGACTGTGCTGAGCAGGGCACTGGTAACCAGCTTATCTCCAGAGAGGGGTGCAGAGTGCTCCTTCCAGCTGCCTCCAGACAGCCATTGGCACATGGTGCTGCTGCAGGGGCTGGA